TGGTTTTTGAACCTGTAGGGAGACTAAGGGCATGTGCTATGCCTGAATCCTCCTTTATATGAGTTTTAAAATGTCGTGCTATTTTGAAATGAAAACTCTTGCATAAGAAGCAGAAATTTTGTCCTGCTCTTACGACACCTGTCGAAGGTACTTTGTTGGTAGAAGACTGTGTAGTGTCAAGGGTGTCATCTGTGACGTCACAGTTTGTATGATTATTATTGATTCGTAAGGGGGCTGGAATGTTGAATTTGCCAAGCTGTTTGGTGGTTCCTCATTTTCTGTGTCAGTTCCTGAACTTGGAACATATTCTGGATCACCTGCATCATCTGATGCCTCCTCTTCATTCTGATTAAAACAGAAAGCACTTTTATATACCACTTGTAAGCACGTGCAAAGACAGACCCCCCCCCCCCCCACACACACACACACACACACACACACACACACACACACACACACAAACTAGGGCTGTTTGATGTGACCTTTTTTTTTTTTTTTTTCTCTATGTGGAACTTCTTGTGCTGCTATCCTGGCCAAGACTCCCTTGTTAAAGAGATTCTGAATCTCAATGGGTTTATTTCCTGGTTAAATAAAGGTTACTAACTAACTAACTAACTAACTAACTAACTAACTAACTAACTAACTAACTAACTAACTAACTAAAGATATCAAGTTTTTTGGAAGCTCCTCAGTGGCAAAGCACTCACTGGCATGCCAAGTATTCCTGGGTTTAAGACTGAATATCATTATAACTACATGGATACATATGGGTTTGTCACCCAGCCCCAAACCTAGGGCCACTCACTCTGGGTTTAAAGTACCTGGGTTCCTTGCATTAGTCTCAAGCTGAAGAAGCCATTTGGGTGAGAGGCGGAATATCTTTAAACACGATAAAAAGTCCAGTTGCTTTTTTCTAAAATTCCACAAGACAAGATAACCTTATTATCTTAATCATATTCTCTCTGTGGATGTAAGTTAGAAAAGGGGGGGCGGCATTAGTGGAGCAGGCGGAGCAGACAGAGCTGTGTTGTCCACCTTGTATCTAATAGTGGTATTTATGTAAAAGCACGAAAGCGTTCAAATTAATGACACCGAGTTGAAGTCAAGTGTAAAAAAGCCAGTCGGTCAGTTGCTAAAATACTTAAGAAAATCTCGATTTAGCAATTTCTCAACAAGGTCCTTGCTAAAAAATTTTTTAGCAATATGAAATTTTATTATTGAACAACTATAACACAAACAAATGCACACACACACGCACAAGTAACACAAACACACACAAGTCTCTTTGTTAAAGTATTGGTTCTCACTCACTGATGTCCTTGTTCTTCAAACAATACTTACCGAAGTCTTTTGTCTAGTCGAGTAAAAGCAGGATGTGTGCCATACATTAGTGCAAACTGTTAAAACAACAAAATACTAAAGTTAGCATTAATGTTGGAATGCTTTACAAAATGACTTTTTTTTTTAAACTTCAAAGGTGCATTGCAGATTCCAAAAATGGTTTTCAGCACCACCAGTAATGTCTCTCACTGTACGTGCTCAACATACACCCATGAAAGAGTCACAGGCTTTAGTCATGGTCTTGTAGCCTGAAAAACAAAAAAAACAAAAAAAATCTTCACACCTTAGCCCCAACCACTTCATTGCAGAAAATGGCCCACGACAAACAGAACATTTGTCCAATGAGCCAAACTTCTCTTTTACAACAGGATGCCTCTTGCATTTTAAAAGAAAACAGAGTGAAATTTACCATGTGAATACAGATTTGAAGTTTTTTGTTTGGATAACTTCCTCTAGAGGCAAGCCTTGCAATGCTAGCTCAAATCCTGTGAACTGACATGTGGTCCTACCTCAAGACATTAGTCTGAAAAGAGGCACATAACGAGAAGCTTAGATCTGACAAGAACTCAGTACAATCAGCATATCCCCAGAATTTGACAGGCCTGTCCTGAGACAGCACTGCTGTGTTAAGCCGCATTAACAGTACATCCCAAGTGAAAAAAATAATGTCTTGGACCAGACGTGGTTATAATAAGCGTGAAAAACAGTAGTAGTAAGTCCAGAGCAGACACAAAGTCACTTACGTTCAAGTGCAAAAAACATAAAATCCACCTAATAAATCCTAACAAAGATGATAAGAGGTGGAAAAAGAAAAAAGGAGAACAAAGAAACCACTGTACAGTGAGCATTCTTTGTCAACTAGTTAGGTGAGTGCCAAGCTGGGAATCTCATGCCTGACACACTCCAGATGACAGGTAGATTCTAGTTCAGGGGTTCTCAAAGTTTTGACAGCTGAGGGCCAAATTAAGAACCCAAATTGAGACCAAGGGCCAACAAAGGGAAATTTTTTTTTTTTTACACTTGGGGGGGGAAAAACCCATTTGTAATAATTTTAATGACCAGGGGCCTCATTTATAAAGCTTGCTTACGCACAAAACCTGGCTAGAAAGTGCTTACGCCACTTCTTACGCAAGAGTTGGGATTTATAAAAGAAAAACTAGTGTAGGAATGTGCGCAACTTTAAGCAAACTCCACACCTTGCTTACGCACTTTTTGGAGACAATCGGAGCAAGGTGAGAACAGTCCGGGTGATGCGTTCAGCACAACGGGTGACTCGATGCAGGGCCTCTCTGTCCTGAGAGCTGCAGCTGCTGTACCAGGCAGTGATGCTCGCAGAAAGCACAGACCCCACTGTGGCGGTGTAGATAGTTTGCCAATTTGAATTTACAAATGTGCAAAAAAACATATTCCATTTACATGCATTTGTTTTAAGATTAATATGACTAATCTTTTTGGTTTACGAACTTTCACCACATAAGCAGCGGTGGATAACGGAGCAGTTTTGTTTTTGGAACACATGCATGAGTGTCACACGTGCTTGTTTTTTCTGATCCTCACCTGTCGCCGCCACGCTCCGACGGTGCAAAGCCACTTTTTTCTTTGCCTCCACCTTTAGATCAGACCACTTCTTCTTGATTTCGGCACAGTTTTGTTTTCGTCAACGTCATCGTCAACGAAAACAAAACTCCACATGTGTGCGCGCGCGCGTGTGTGTCTGTGTGTTGGAGGAGCACAGCAGGCTGATGAGAGCTGTCAGAGCGGACAGAAGCTGCTCCTATATGTTTAGCGTTTAACTGACTGAGTTTTGCAACTCTGTTCGTCGTTTTCGTCTCGTCCCATCAACGTAAACGCACTTTCGTCTCGTCACAATTTAGTCATCTCCGACTTATGTTTAGCTCGTCAACGTTACGTCTTCGTCGTGGAAGAAAAGGGAAATATTTTCGTCAACGAAAACAACCAGTGTTGTTCTCGTTGACGAAAATATTTCCCTTTTTTGACGCTGGCGTTGACAAAAATATTTGACGAAATATGACGAAAACAACACTGTTTCGGCAACGCTGCGCTCAGTGCCAGCTGCAATTACCACCACGGCAACGGTGTTTTTATTGGTGATGCCACTCGAATGGCCGCCGAATAAGGTCTCCCGTCTCGCCGCCACCTCAATTACAAGAACCTCCAGCTCGGTCTCTGAAAAGTTTCGGTAGCACTTTACAATGACGACCTGTTATAAAGCATTTATTAACATTTATAAGCAGTTTGTAGATGATTAGTAAACATGAACAAACTGTTTATTGACATTTGTAAGTGTATAACTTTACATTTACAAACTGTTTAAACATCATTTGTATGTTGTTATTAAGGCATTAGTAAGTAGTAAATTAATCATGAACAAACCATTTATATATGTTTGTAAATGATTAATAAATCATTTGTAATTAAAATTATACATTATTTATATTCTATTTGTAGATAAGTTACCCTTAAGTAAGGTCTATTAAGGTGACTTAAATGTTTGTTCATGTTTAATATATGCTTTGCAAAACATTCCTTAAATATCTATAAACCATCAGTAGATGTTATTAAGAGCCCTAATGTAAAGTGAAGACTATTCATTATTTATAACTGTCATTTAAGGCAACCTCAGTGTTTGTTCATGTTTAATATATGCTTTACAAAACATTCCTTAAATACCTATAAATCAGTAGTTGATGTCATCAAGAGCCCTAATGTAAAGTGAAAACTATTCATTATTTACAAGTATTTGTTAATGTCGCCACCACGTTTGTTCACATTTAACAGACATTCGTAAATAATGAATTGTCTTCACTTTACATTAGGGCTCTTGATAACATATACCAATGATTTATAGATGTATTAGTAATGTTTTATAAAGCATTTGTTAATGTGGACTTTCTACTTACCTGTTACAAACTTCCCGGCCTTCATGGGTGCTGACACGACACACAACTAGAATTCTCATGTTTCGCAAATGATTTGTGAGACAGTGCTAAGGATTAAAAAATATAAAAAACATTTGCATATGTTATGGTGTGCCCTGTCCAACTAGTCCAAGAGATTGCCTTACAGACCAAGTATTCTACATTATTTCATGTTTAACACAATGATCAGTGAAAGATTTAAACAATCTTGTACCACAATAAATGTGACAGACGTAACGGTGTAGAGAACAGCATTTAACATTTAATTCCAATATAAATTTATAAAACATTTACCCTGAACAGCTCACATTATCATTTAAACAAATAAAATATGTTTGTTTATAAAACATACAGAAAACCCTTAAAATGTAAAAAATAAATAAAATAAATAAGAGGGAGCAGTTCACACACACAACTAATCTTCAATCAATTACCCACCCATAAGGCTCAGAGCCATTAATTTGATGACTGGGTCATTAGTCAGTAGAAGCTACTTGAGTCTCCACCATGAGGTAGAAATGTCCCTGCCTGACCCGCATGTCATGCAGTAGACGACCTAAGGGGCCATGTCGGTGTTTCCTTGCAAGCCAGTCTTCCCACTCAATGACTAAAAGGTGGTCTTCAAGAAGCTCCTCTGAGCAGTTTCCTCTAAGTCGCCAGATCTTCTCCTTATATGTTCTCCAGGCTCTCTCTATATGTTGGGTGTGGGCCCCTGTTACTGGATTCACATAGGCAACACTGTGGTTTACTGTATAGTGCCTGTAGCCTAGTTGAGGCAGAGCATTGTAAGCTCGCCACTCATCACTAATGATGGTTGACCCTCTCCTGATGTACCGATTAATTAACGGCACTAGCGTGGCTCTGCTCCGCCTCTCCACCAAGCGGAGCACAGGTTTCTCTTTGCTTTGTCCTCTGCGCCGCACTCCCAGCATTCCGAAGACCCACTTTTTTCTTTTCCAGGCCCCAGCCATTCTGCCCCTTCCATACTGAAGATTTGAAAACAACAAGACATTGATATCGAGTTAAAAAAAAGCATGACCTGAGCAGAAGTCACCAGACAATTCACTTTCATAATCATTATTTAACATAGTCCATTTTTATTTTTCTACAGTGAGTGATAATATGGTTCTGATTGTCAACTTAATTTGGATTATACTAAAGTTATTACCTTTCTTTTATGCCTGAAGTGACTCTCATCTATAGCTCCTCCTATAGTATCTCCTCTCCCCTATTCGCTGTCCTTTCCTTCTCTGCAGCTTTTTCATGGCTCTTTTGCAGACCTCTCTCATGGTCTTCGACATTTTTGACAGGGTTCTTGATGATCCCGCAATGTCATCACTGATGAGGTCGATCTGCCGCAACCTCAGTCCTTGGGAGAATCTTGAAAAGCATAATACATCATGATGACAATGATTCCAGTTTATAGCAGACCTACAACACTGACAATTTAAGCTATATTAATTAATTTGCATTGATGTTCTCAATACCTGGCTACATAGATATAAACATAAAACACACAAGGTATGTGTTGTCTAACCTGTACACAAATCTCATCCAATTGCACAGTGAGATTTTGTTTTTGGAAAACAGGCTCTTGTGCCGAATTGACCTCAAAAGAGAAGTACCAAAAAATAACAATTACGTGGAAGTAGGAAGTAGTTAAATGGAAGTAGTTCAAAAAAGGTAAAATATTAATGCCCAGTTGTCTAGGTGCCCACATGTCCCTAGAGCCCAGTTGTCCAGGTGCCCAGTCATCCAACACATGTCTGTAGTGCCCACTCGACTTGATATACACTACTTACACACACACACACACTCACAGACACACACACACACAAACGAACACAGTCATCCATATAACAGTATTTATGTACATTATATTTTTTAGCCTTTTTTATTAAACATACAATCTATATTAAAAAATAAAAATAAAATACATACCATTCAAATCTGTCCAAACAAGCCCTCCGCAGCATCAGCTTCATATTGTGCCTGCATGAACTGCATTTAACCTTCCTTTTCAGTATTTTTTTCTTTTGTCGCCATTTAATCAGTTTGTGTGTGTTTTTTGTTGTTTTCCTCCCTTCTGTCAATTCTCTTAATTTACTGGACAAACCAGGCATTTTGGCAGAAACAAGCTCACAAACGAAAAATCTCTGCAGCAAACCTCACTTTCAGTTCTCATCTGTTGCTGTTAGCTTTGCCACTCAGTCATATTGTCCCGCCAGAATACGTAACCAAAAAAGAAAAGCGTGCTTCTGGATTGGAGGGGAGCTCCGTGGCAATCCCCTTCCTGCCATTCAACCAAATCAGAGGCAAGCAGGGAGGATGCTTCCTATGTCAATCAAGACAGACGACTGGCCAATCATGTCGCGCAAAGGGTGGGTCGAGTCCAAGCTCTTGAGCAGCTGAGCTGAGGCGGCGGGCTTTCTCAATATTCAATAGTTAGCAAGAATGAACACCGCTACTCGTCGAGCACGAAATAAACGTCCAAGGCCGATAGATGTTATTGAGGATGAGGAAGAAGGCAACAGCACAGGTAAGCTACTGTACAAAAGCCATATATGTTGCTTGGAACGTGTATTTGTTTACTTGTTTTGTCCTGCAAAATACGATGATGAACTGATCACAAACATCAATGTAGCTAGTTAGCTAGTTGCACTGTTATTTATTGTTTTTATTCTATGGAGCACCCCAACCTCAGCTTTTCACAGTGCAATGTACTTGTACATAAATCTTGTGAGAATAAACATCTTGAATCTTGAAGCGTTAGCCTTGCTATCGCTCAGGTTAGTGGAGCAGGGTTCAAAACCAACGGCACTACATCGTCCAGGGCTTGCAGGGGCCGAATTAGAATTAGGCCGAATTTTCAAGAGGTCCCCCGCTAGATGATAATTTTGAACTAAATGGGACCCTTGTGGGTGTGTAACTCTGAGAGTATACAAAAGGAACCAAATGGACCCGGTAGTGTCCATTATTTTTACACTCTAAATTAATCAACAATAACTTTAGCCTCTCAAAAAGGGACATATCTTTTCAAATATGGCTCTGCAGGCTAATATGTGTGAGTTTGGAGGTGTTGACAGGAAAACGTTTAAGAACCACTGGCTTATACTGATTGAAACCGAACCATGTTTAGCCCAGGGACCAACAAATGTATATTTGGGACAAATGTGCCTTATCCACAATGAGTTCATTGAAAAAGGCTTCAAAGCTCCCCAGACCTATTTGGAATGAATTGTTTAGCCTTCATATAGCATAATAGTGGGCGGGGTTTGCTGGTTCCACTAAAACGAGCCCCATTCATTTTCACCACAGGCTTTTACAAAAATATTTATAACAATTATTTTTAACTTAGAACCAAGCCATCCAGCTTTCCAGTGAATCATGACCATGAAACCTTTGATTCTATGAAAAGAAAAAAAGAAACGCTAAACAAAGGATATTTATGAAATGAAGTATATCAAATAATTAAATATTCAAATATTTCTTTTCACAGAACCAAAGGTTTCATGGTCATGATTGACTGGAATCCTGGATGGCTTGGTTCTAGGTTTAAAATAATTGTTATAAATACTTTCGTAAAAGCCTATGGTGAAAATGAATGGGGCTTATTTTAGTGGAACCAGTAAACCCTGCCCACTATTATGCTCTATTGGAGTCTCTGTGCCACACACCAGTATGGTGGCAAATATGGTTTACAGCACTGTTTCCTAGACAGTGGGTCGGGACCCATTGGTGGGTCAGACATATGTGGTGATCATGTTCTTTTCCAACATTTATCAATCTATATCTTTCCAGATTTGACGAAAATAATACATTTAAAAAACAAACAAATCTTAAAAATAAAAAACGCAAATATTAAATATGTATTAAGAAACAGTGAAAATAGCCAATCTACAAGCTCTCAACATGGTGTGTACTGATTGATGTGAAGGGTTATGTCACATTAGGTCCAATTGAAACATTCAACTTGTGCTTATGCCATTACTCAGTGTTATAGCTGGCAAACACAACATTAGTAACAAGCACTTTTGGTTAACTAATCACCATTTGTCATCTCTGTTTCAGGAAACCCTGTGTCCCAGTCGCCCACTGCTGAGCTGGCAGCAAAGAGGATGCGCACACAGCTAGAGAAGGCCAAGAATAATGAAGCTTCTCAAGCTAAAGTGATTGAGAAGTTAACGAAAGAGAAGGAAGACCTTCTGGCTGAAGTGGCCAAATGTAAGTACTCCACTTGTATTCAATTACATTAGACAGGACAACTATCCACTCGTCCTTGACTCTTTGCCCTGTTACCCCCCAAACTGTGGAACAAACTCCCAGTTGCACTTAGAACTACAGACTCAATGGTTAGTTAATTTTGCAAACTTCAAATAGGCTATTTGCAGTTCTGTTCTACTGTAGCCTAGAGTTATTAGTTTTAAGAACCTTGTTAACCAGTAAAATCACTCTCAGCCCCACTGCTCCTTTTTGTAGTTTGTGATGTGATATAGGCCTTGCTACATGCTCAGTGTTTGTGCTGTTGTATTCCCTAAGATGCCCCTCTCTATTGTGTCTAATGCGTTATTTGTCTTTGTATCTATTGTTTTGCTTTCTTAGATAAGAAAAAAAGTACCAAGGCAAATGAAGAAGAGTATGCATCCAGTGACTCCCAGATTTCCACAACCTCCACATCTTCCTCTTTGTCATCCTCCTACTCTTCAACCTCAGAGGAGGAGAGAAAGAAGAAAGGGAAGAAGATGAGGAAGAAAGGGAAGACACAGAAACGGCCAAAAAGGAAGAAGGCAAAGTCCAGTAAGGAAAAAGGAAGACGCAGAGGTAACTGTGCTTTGCAAACATGACCTTTTTGGTGACCACAACACACACACACCTGCGCTCTTTCCTAATAACTTGTACTTTTGCTTTATGGTGTCAACTTATTTTTGAATGTAAGATCTTTCAGGCTTTTGTTAGTTTAAAGGGTACAACCGTATTACGTATTTTGGTGTCAAAATGCCTGTTGTATCAAGAAAAACTACAGAAATGACAGCAGAGATCTACAGCTACAATCGTAGGTCTGCTATATCAAATTTCATAAAACGATTTTTCTCTTTGTATTTTTCATTTCAGCAATGAATCCTCAGCAGGTGGTTGAGAGGTACAAGAAGGTGCTGGGTCACTTCCAGAAGGGCAAAAATCTATCTGAGAGCTACAATGCTGTGGACGTCAACAAAAACACCATTACAACCAGCGCCTCCATTCCAGAGCTCGCCATATCCGCACCGGATAAATATGCTGACGTTCTGCAGGGCTATTCTAGGTCGCAGAAGCTGAATGTATTTGTGCAGGAATGTTCAAAGGTCCTCAGTGAGGACCCCGAGTGATGGCTAAGGTAGATAAGCTTAAGGATGAAGGGAAACTACTCCCGATCTCAAAGAGAACATAATCTCCCTTTTTTTTTTCTTTTTCGGATCACAGTTTTAAGGGCAAGGTCACACCACACTTTTATTCTTCCTAGCACTCCATTTACCTCTTTAAATACATTGGTAGAATCTGTCCTTATAGGTGGAATAAAAGAGTGGTGTGACCATACCTGAAGTAGGTTACCTCCAGTCCAGATATTTAAATTGTTTTAAAGGGTGTGTTGGCTACTTAAAAAATGGAGGTCCCTCACACTGTCTTCACTCACAGGAGGAGGTTATTAGGCATCAGATAAATATTATAGTAGCTTAATGAACTACTCCTGTGAGTGAAAATGGTGTGCAGTATTTCCTTTATTATTATTATTTTATTTCTACTGCACCGATTTCCTGTCCTGGTGCTGAAAAGGACTTTATATTGCACTAATTGCCCGTTCTCTACAAAGGACGTTGTTCAAAGTGTGTACATTATTATTTTTCTTCTATTGCACTGATTTCCTGTCCTGGTGCTGAAAAGGACCCTCCTATAGTGCACTGATTGCCTGTACTCTAAGTGTTTACATTTTATAGGAAAATGCTCCGTTCAACTGTCAGGGTAAATGTTTTATAAATTTATATTGGAATTAAATGTTAAATGCTGTTCTCTACACCGTTACGTCTGTCACATTTATTGTGGTACAAGATTGTTTAAATCTTTCACTGATCATTGTGTTAAACATGAAATAATGTAGAATACTTGGTCTGTAAGGCAATCTCTTGGACTAGTTGGACAGGGCACACCATAACATATGCAAATGTTTTTTATATTTTTTAATCCTTAGCACTGTCTCACAAATCATTTGCGAAACATGAGAATTCTAGTTGTGTGTCGTGTCAGCACCCATGAAGGCCGGGAAGTTTGTAACAGGTAAGTAGAAAGTCCACATTAACAAATGCTTTATAAAACATTACTAATACATCTATAAATCATTGGTATATGTTATCAAGAGCCCTAATGTAAAGTGAAGACAATTCATTATTTACGAATGTCTGTTAAATGTGAACAAACGTGGTGGCGACATTAACAAATACTTGTAAATAATGAATAGTTTTCACTTTACATTAGGGCTCTTGATGACATCAACTACTGATTTATAGGTATTTAAGGAATGTTTTGTAAAGCATATATTAAACATGAACAAACACTGAGGTTGCCTTAAATGACAGTTATAAATAATGAATAGTCTTCACTTTACATTAGGGCTCTTAATAACATCTACTGATGGTTTATAGATATTTAAGGAATGTTTTGCAAAGCATATATTAAACATGAACAAACATTTAAGTCACCTTAATAGACCTTACTTAAGGGTAACTTATCTACAAATAGAATATAAATAATGTATAATTTTAATTACAAATGATTTATTAATCATTTACAAACATATATAAATGGTTTGTTCATGATTAATTTACTACTTACTAATGCCTTAATAACAACATACAAATGATGTTTAAACAGTTTGTAAATGTAAAGTTATACACTTACAAATGTCAATAAACAGTTTGTTCATGTTTACTAATCATCTACAAACTGCTTATAAATGTTAATAAATGCTTTATAACAGGTCGTCATTGTAAAGTGCTACCAAAGTTTCTTTTTCTACGACTTGCTGATGCCATAGTTAAGCGTGAAATGCTGTGGATCCATCAGGCTTATTTATATGCAAATCACATTCATGAGGTAATTTGCATGACCATACATGGTGAATTTTGGGTGTGGAGAGGGTGGGGCATGAATCAAATCCCTGCTGCGCAACTTTTCGGCTGGTCTGTGATTTATAAAGCGAAAGTGCGTGCAGGTGTGCGTAGGCAGGGTTTTATAAATCAGATTTTTTTTTTGCCTACGCACTTTTCAGTTTTTCAACTTACGTACACTTTTAGTATGGATCCTACGCCAGGTTTTATAAATGAGGCCCCAGGTCCCATCTCTACAATTTACACTGTAATTTAATGCGGGCCACCAGAAATGTTTCTATGGGTAGCTATTAGTCCGTGGGCCACACTTTGTTCTAGTGTATGTGAATGAATCTCTGCATTGCCACGGCAGCAAGGAAACTATAGCTTTACATCTCCAAACCTGCATTTTCCTTCTTTCTATGGAAGAAAAATGTATTTTTCTTTTGTCTATGGAAGAAAAATGCGGGTTTCAGGGATGAAAACAACCTCAACACCCTCAGCCAGTATGATCAGTGTAATGGGGCGTTCACACCAAACGCGAAAGACCCGAATTGAGCAGTGACTCTACATTGAAACTCAATATAAATGGCGTGATGACTCGTGATTCAGGCATAGGCGACGCGACTGAAGCGTCTGGAGCATCTGAAACGTCTGGCATGACGTGAATGAAGTTGAAAATATTCAACTTTTCAGGCGGCACCGCGCCACGACATCAAATCAAAGACGAGTTCAAGCTGAGGAAGAAAGACGTGTAATGTTTACACAAAGACACGGAGGAGAAGCCCATCCTAGCTGTGAGCAGGCACCCGGAGCCGAGTGCACCAGCTGGGTGTACGCCTGGGCGTGAGTGAGGAGGTGGGACTCCTCACTCACTAAAGTTATGAAACTATCTGTGGCTTGTTTTACTACAGCACTGACTGTTTCTCTGTGAATTAAATGTTAGTATCAGCTAGCACTTGCATAGTATTATTCCCTTCTGCAAGATACCACTTTCAGTTTGTGTGAATGTTTTCATTGTCTTAATATTCAATTTGGTCAGAAGCAAACTTATGCAAAGTGTGTGTCTTTCTGTGTGTGCGTGATATCCGTTGTCCCCCGAGTGTCTAGCGCGAGTGACCCGAATGACGCGAATGATCCAAAAAAGATCAAGCGGCGCGATACAAGCGTCTGAAGCGAATGTATTCGCGTCTGTTGCGATTAGTGCTATATAAATAAAATTTGATTGATTGATTTGATTGATAGTGTGGACACAGCATAAGCTGTATGTTTGGTGCTCACTTAAGTGTTTGGTGTGAATTTGTATGTATGTATTTTTATTTTTCATGTGTTGTTTATAGTTAGTTTGTATAGTCACTTATGAAAATGAAAAGACCCTAGAACATTGTGTAAATGACAAATGCACGAGACAATTTTGTATTGTATCCCACTAAAATTAAAAACCATGAACTATAATCACATCTTGTAATACAGTTTTGCCTAATATATCATTCCTCTATTATATTTTGTATAAAGATTTCTTATCATCATTGCCAATGCCTGGCCATTTGGCTTGCTGCTGTGCTCCAACCATTTTTCCCATGTGGAGAGATAAAACAAAGCCAAAAATAAACAACAGTAACACTGTCATAACCGGAATATCATGGGTAGCCCTGAAGAAGAGTGCTTGGTACCTGGACTCAAGTAATTGCTGATACAAATGCCAGCTTTTCTGTAGTGTCAGAGCAATGTCCGATACTGGTAAGGGAAGCGGAACTCTACTTTAGAGCTACACCAACAAATGTATTGACAAACCTCTTCTGCGAGCACTGTGGGAGAGAGCACCAGTGTTGGAGAAGAAGATGGAGACACATGAGATGCGTGAGGGACACTTGTGGTGACGACTGTAGTCGTAGGACTCGGCTGATGGAGAGGCAAAAAGGGAGAAACAGAGGAGAATGAAAAGAACGAAAGAGGGAGACACGGTCAAGAAAATGTTATATCCCTATCAGAGAAAGGACAGTGAGGCTGTTTTTACATATTCCGATTATCCAACACAAAAAAGCCATTATTTTAGACACAGACTGCAAGAACTATTGCAGAAAACTTCTACCGAGATTAACTGTAATACCGATAATCGTTACATCCCTAGTCCTGAAAGAATTACATCTGCAGTACCTGTGACATCTACAGTATTTTCAGGTCTACTGCTAATGCAACAAAGTGGCACAACCACCATGTATAACAACACAAAACATACAAGGGTTAAGAAACCATACCGTACCAAGTGAATCACATACAGAGGCAGAAACTGAGCTTCATTTCAGATCATGTTAAAACATTTCCTGCATTTAAAGCTACACCAACAAATGTATTGACAAACCTCTTCTGCGAGCACTGTGGGAGAGAGCACCGGTGTTGGAGAAGGAGATGGAGACACATGAGATGCGTGAGGGACACTTGTGGCGACGACTGTAGTCGTAGGACTCGGCTGATGGAGAGGCAAAAAGGGAGAAACAGAGGAGAATGACAGAGGGAGACATGGGGCAGTTATTTTTAAGTAGAACATCTCCTGCTGATATACTGAATTTGACACTGAGCAGACATATTACAGAGGACATGAATCGCTCAGACAATTTAACATACAGTTGCTGTAAAAAATGATCACAACAGACCATGGACTCAGAGATTAGCAGACTAGTCTGTTTTCTGCTCTGCTAGTCACTGCAGCAGTGCAGCTCCTTCTTAGCGGCAAAACAGACTGTTTTTCTGTTTTCAACACTGTAAAACTCCTTGTTATATGAAGGAGCAGTACAGCTTGGTCTCCCTTTTGTTTCTCTTCAATCCAGTGCCTCTAAGGCAGGGATGGACAACTTAAACGATGGAGGGGCTACATTTTTTTTGTCAACACTACCAGAGGGCCACATAAGACCACACACTTAACCAGATATGATAAAATTTTACATGTTTGAATCATATGTTTATTGAGCCAACATACAGTGCAATAACTTCACATTACCATGCTCAAATGCATGTATAAAAGTTGTGCTATTCTTTGATAAAATAAATAAATGAAATAAATAAATGTGAATACAAAAGGTTTGAAGCCAACAAAAAATAACCCCTTTTTTCCAAGTACAAAGGGCTCTCATCAATAAAACATACAAATCAACCCATCTGAAAGATAGCAGGGAGCTGCAAAACAGAAGAACATTAATTGCAATTAGAGAACTTATGCACATTCTGCATTTTTAAACTACACTTCTTTTTTTTTTCTTTTTTTACATGTTTACATTCTCCATGAATACCATCACCACAACCACCACCATCATCATTATCATCATCATCATCATCATGAGTAGGCCAGTTCCCT